AGCCCTTTCAGCACACGGCCGGCGCAAAGGGGCAGTCCGCCTCGTCGGCCGCCTTGCAAAAGGGCTCTTCAACGAAGGCCAGTGCAAATGGGGGAACACCTGTCGTTTTAAGCACGAGTGCTCGGGCTGCGGGGGCGCACACGGGCTTAACCGATGCTCCAAAAAAGGGAAGTCGGGGAATACCGGAGTCGCTGCTACGGTTGGGGGGGGAGGGGGTCTCCTCTGCCCCGGGGCTTAACCCCGGTGAGGAGCCACGTGATGGAGCCATGGTTAAGCCGCTACATAACAGGGCGGACGCCGCGTTGCTTTGGGCAAGGGTTTTTCGAGCTGGTAAAGAGGGCCGGGTGCGGGGCGCTGATGGCAAAGGTGAACATTGAGGCGGCATTTCGGCTGCTTCCGGTCCACCCGGCATGTCACCACCTGCTGGGGTGTTTCTTTGAAGGGGCATACTTTGTGGACTTGTGCCTCCTCATGGGCTGTTCCATCTTGTGCTCATACTTTGAGAAGTTCAGCACTTTTCTCGAATGGGTAGTGCGGGCGGAGGCGGGGAATGGATCGGTGGTGCACTATTTGGACGATTTCTTCTGCGTGGGGCCGGCGAGCACCCCTGTTTGCTCCGGACTATTGAATAGTTCACAGGCCGCTTCGGGGTCCCGCTGGCAGCAGATAAAACGGAAGGCCCGGCGGTGTGCCTTAGTTTCCTGGGGCTGGAGATTGACTCGGTACGGGGCGAATGTCGGCTGCCGCTGGCAAAGCTACAAGGGCTGAAAGGGGCAGTGGCAGCGGTAGCGCAGGCGCAGAAAGTCACCCTGCGGCAGCTGCAATCGTTGATCAGGATGCTGAATTTCGCTTGCTGGGTGATCCCAATGGGTAGGGTTTTTAGCCGCAGCCTGTCGGCAGCTACGGCGCGGGTGCGATCCCCACGCCATTTCATCCGGGTATCGTCCGCCATGAGGGCCGACCTTGCCGTGTGGGATACCTTCTTGCGGGACTTCAATGGGACAGTGTTCTTTCGGCAGGAAGGGGTGTCGGTGACAGAGCTGGAGCTGTTCACTGACGCGTCGGGTAGTGTGGGCTTCGGGGCCTACCTTGGTGGGAAATGGTGCACGGAGAGGTGGCCGGTGGCGTGGGGGCCGAGCGCCCTTATGCGGAACCTGGCTTTCCTGGAATTGTTCCCGCTGGTGGTCGCGATGGCTCTGTGGGGGGAAGGGCTGCGGGACCGGAAGGTGGTCTTTTTCTTGTACAATATGGCGGTGGTGCACGCAGTGAATAATCAGTTGGCGGCGTCAAAACTGGTGGTCCATTTGCTGCGGCGCTTCGTCTTAATGTGCATGTCCCTCAATGTAGTCTTTTGCGCGCGCCATGTGCCAGGGTACCTGAACGAAGTGGCTGACGCTCTCTCTCGTTTTCAGTGGTCCCGATTCCGGACGGTGGCACCGGAGGCGCAGGAAGCGGGTCAGGCGTGTCCGGACGAAATTTGGCGGCTGGAAGCGTCCTGCTTGGGAGACTTGTGAAGGCTTCCCTGGCACCGGCCACATGGGCCGCTTACAATAAGGTGTGGGGTTCATGGGAACAATCTTGGGCTTGGCCGGACTGCGTGCCGGAGGGGGAATCACTCCGGGACGCGTTACTGTGGTACACCTGACAATTGCTGGCAAAGGGGGCCTCCCCGCCGGCGATTGACAGGTCCATGGCGGCGATGGCTTTCTGGTTTAAGCTGCATGGGAAGGAAGACGTTACTAAGACCTTCGTCATCAGGCAGGCGCTTAAGGGGTATCGGAAGGGGCGCAGGTTTCCAGACACTAGGCGCCCGGTGTCGGTGCGGGTGTTGGGGGATCTGGTTAGTGAGTTGCCCGGAATTTGCTTCGACGAGTTTGAGGTGTCCCTGTTTAAGACAGCGTTTCTGTTGGCTTTCTTCGGGCCTTTCCGGATTAGCGAGTTGGTGAGTGCCAATCGGGTGGCGGCCGGGAGCCTGCAGGTCTCAGGAGTTCGGCTGCAAGGGGGGAAATTGGTGGTTCACCTGGCCGAATCCAAGACGGATTTGCGGGGGGTGGGCCGTGATGGGACACTTCAGGCCCTACCGAGCTCCGTTCTGTACCCGGTAGCCTCGGTGGCGGAGTATTTGGTCCGGAGGCCGAGGGTTGGGGGATCCCTACTGGTGCACGCGGACGGGTCTTCCCTCTCCTGATTTCAATTTATCAAGGTTTTTCGGTTGGGCCTGGGAAAAATAGGGTTACGGGCGGATAGCTTTGGTACACATTCTTTTCGCATTGGGGCGGCCACGGAAGCCGCAAGGTTGGGTCTGGGGGACGACATAGTTAAACGAATTGGGAGGTGGGAGTCGGTACGGTTCCGGTCGTATGTGCGGTTGGGATTGTTAGAATGATATGGCGGGCCTTTTTTTCGGGGGATCCCGAGGGGCAATAGGGGGGTGTTGTTACAATTTGTGTTTTTTCTTCTTCCCCAGGCTATGTTGCATGGATCGTGGGCCATTCCTTTGTTTTCTGGGCCGAAAGGAGATCCGCAGCTCGAGCTCAGGGCCAGCAGATGGGCTTTTCAAGGGACCAGTTGGCAGTGCAATGGTTTGGGTATAGGGGTTTTTGTTGGGGGGAAGTTTGCTGGGAAGTGTTCCGGATGGTGGCAGGCGGGTGGAGGCCGGACCTGCTGGTGCTACACGCGGGGGGCAATGACTTAGGCCTAACACCGCAGCAGAGGTTGGTGAAGTGGATGAAGCAGGACCTCAACAAATTGAGGGACCTGCTTCCGGGGGTAATGTTAGTATGGTCAGAGATTATCCCGAGGAGGCGGTGGCGGCAAGCAAGGGACCCGGTGGCCATCGACAAGTGTAGGAAGAAAGTGAATAGCTCGATGGCAAGCTTCGTGAGAAAGTTGGGGGGGTGGTAGTGCGGCACAGCGAGTTGGAAGGCGGGTTGCCGGGGTACTACCGCTTGGATGGCGATCATCTTTCGGCAGTAGGATGGGACCTGCTGAACCTGGGTTGGCAAGATGGAATGATCAAAGCACTATTTCTTTGGGGTGGCAGAGCTCAGATGGCTTAAGGGGTCAAGGTCTGAGCTTGTGGCGGGATAGGGAGCTTAAGGAGAAGGAATAGGCTCCCTAGGATGAACGTGACAGATATGGAAAACTGTGGTCATTGGTGGTTGGTAGGTTTCGAGTCCTGTCGGTGGCTCAGAACCTGGTGGGGTAGGGGTAACCCCTGCCATGGTTAATTTATGTTTGGCACTTTAAGTTGTGATGTTGGAATAATGTTGGTATATGTTATGTAACGGACCGTTTTGCACACAAGGGGTAAAAAAACGTTTAGGTGATCGGCCCCCTTTCCAGAGATACAGGCATAGCTACTGCAGAACACCAAAACTCACGAACTGGATACAAAATAGCACTCCAACTCCCGAACTGGAACCTCCCAAATAGCTGCTAGCAGACGAACAGGAAAAGCAGACGAACAGCTTACACTCCTGGCAATCAGTTTCTAACAGCATACAGTGAATCCCCCCAAGAACGAGACAAGGCTCCGTGTTGAGGGTCAAGCAGTGGTCTGAGGTGCTGGCACACCCAGCCTGGTTTTATTACAGTCTTGCAAATACAGGACCGCCCACAGGGAGGTATAAAACAACCAATCACATCACAGTTACATCCCACTTATTCCCTCCCCTTATCCTGAGAGGAAACTCAATTATACATACAGTTAAAACATACTTTTCTACCCAACTTTCACTTAACTCTAAAACCACGCCATTAAAATTTCATAAAAATTACATACTTACATTAATCCATTTTCAGGGAACAACATATATTAAAAAATGGCACAAATCAGACAAGGGTTCAAAAGTTAGTAAAAAGTCCTTTGTGACTAAATGAAGCATGGCTTTCTGGCCCAAACCAGTTTCAGAGTCTTCTATCCTGGAGAGTAATTCAATTATCTCCCAGGACAGACACAAGACTCCATTAAGCACATGGTTGCAAAAAGACACAAAACACTTTAAAATACATAAAGTCACATTTTACACATAACACACAGACATTTCACACATCCCCAGATAGCTCAGGTCTGAGCGCACATTATTAAGTGAATGGCGCTCGGACCACACAAATACAGTTTAATCGCCATGGAGCCAAAGTCTTTACA